AATTATACAGCAATCTGTTCATAAATCAATTACTGCAGTTACATTCCGGATAACAAGATGTACAATGTGCAATAAGTGTGAAATATGTCCATGAACAGAGAGTTTAAACTGGAAGGAAGAATATAAGACAATAAAATACAATACGGACTTTTGCAGGTTTGTTTGCAACTCCGTTTTTCACAGTCCATTACAGTTAGTTCTTGGCAAGCCGAGAAGTTTTACTTTACTTTTAAGAGAGGAAAGGCCAAAAGAACAACTGAACTGTCTATTTCAGGGGTCTCCGCTCCACCGCTAAAATTAGTAGCTCTTTGGCATTTTATTTTTGTAAAGGTAGCTCACCGGAAAAAAAATCTTTTTTCATTTCTTTATGTGTACATAAAAGTAGCCTACAAAATCAAACCCCAACAGTGCTTTCACAAGGAGGTGATTATGAATTCTGTATCATGTATAAAAACTGAGGAAAGGCATTTATTGTGTTTTTAATGTAAACTATTTCACTCACTTTTCACTAGGTATTTTTGTCACATTGTTGGACTATTGATAAATTTGATAAATTTTTTAAAACATATTTAAAAAAAAAAAAAAGCTTACAACATTCTTTTCCTGAACCAAAACAATAGACTTTTAACAGCAAAATTTCACCCTTCAAAGTCTGGACTCTGACAAAAAACACACATATACTTTTACTGACAGAGGCTTGGCTGCAGTCCTCTCATTTAAAAAAAACAAATTAATTCAAATTCGATTCATTGCACAATCCTATCTGGTACCACTGCATACACTAAAAAAAATAAACAAATAATTGGAGTTTTGAGTAATGGGGAAAGACCAGGTGGAAGGGACACACCTGCTCCACAAATGCATGATAAATCCAGTGTAGTTTGTGTGTATGTGCTTTAGTTGGTGTTAGTGTGTAGTGTGTGTGTATGCTGTGTATGTGTGTGATGCCCGTAGGGAGCTCCAAAAGAGGGCTAATGAAGCTGGACAGGTTCTAACACTTAAATGCAGAATGATTACTGAGGCCAGTTTAGGAAACACCCCGAGGAAGGGCCGTGGGGAGGTACTGCACCGAGACGGAGAAGTGTGGCTAATATATCATTTTCATTTGGGGGTTTACTCCACAGTCAAGACACTTAAGATGGAAAAAAAAAAAAACAGGGTACAAACAGAAGACTTTTTTCATATACTAGGTCTGTGCAATTAAACAAAAACATGATTCAATGGTTTCAAATTGTCAGTGATAAACATAATCAAGTAGAGCTGGGATTCATTACGATAGGACACATGACTCACGATACAATATTATCATGATATGGCGATACATACAATAGATATATATTGCACATGATAGTCTATGATATGTTGCTATGTTTTTATAAACCCAAGCCCATTTTAGCAAGAGTATTTCTTTGTTAAACCATTATTTGTGCAAAGTTAATATGAAATGCTAATCTATTTTACTTGTCAAAACAGTGAACAGTGCAATGTCAAGTGTATTGCATTAAAGACATACCAAAAAATACTCACAATAACGATACTGTATTACCAATTTAGTAACTTGATATACATGTATCAATATTTTAATATTTTTGCACACCCCTGTAACTAAGAGGTTTATACAGCCAGTCCTCTCTGAGTAAAAGCATGTTTTTGGAGTATGAACTTCAAACATTAAAATGAATAAAGCTACACGTGTCAATAATATTAAATAAATAAAACTGAATAAAATATTTTCATAGGTCAGTGTTTTTTGCTGTATTGAATAACTAAACATCATTTTTGATGGTTTGCAAATATACTAATTATATATATATATATATATATATATATATATATATATATATATACACACACATATATATATATATACTATATATATATATATATACAAATTGGGAAAATAAAATAATAACTTGTCACTATCATCCACCCGTAGAGTGTGTAAAATGAATATTCTAGTTCCCATCAGAACAAATGCACTACAAATAAATATACAATATTTAACAGTTTCACAAATTAAATGAATGATAGATACAGCTTTAAGTTAACTTTTATCTGCATTCATTTTTTTTTTCTAATATTATGCCACTATATAAGGGGTATTGCACTGTTACTACTTTTGGACTGAATATGTCAGCAAATCTGGCAATGCAGTTTTTTTTATGAGCACAAGCCAGGAAGCATATCCAAGGATCCTGTATTGCTTTCCATGATACATTTTAATGCACTTGCACAAGATGCAAAACTATCAATATTGGCTTCAGACGCTTCAGATTCTACTGCCAATTTTAGACAGTTACAAGATGGATGATGGAAAACACAGAGAGCGATTAGCATAAAGCTGAGCACTGTCTCTCAATAGCATAGAATGATAAATGGTTTGTATTGTATTTCCACAGTTTAAAATAGTTGTTATTATCAACTTAAGTTTAGAGTCTGTCCCTGTACAATAAACTCCCCCCTTGTCCTTAATATACCCTACCCCAAGGCACTAATCAGCAGACAGTGTAGCTCCAGCATCATACCACAAAAGGAATCACGTTAGATTAGAAGTAGGATCATCTCGAGTTAAAAATAAAGTTTAATCACAACTTTAATCTACATCTAAGCTTTAATCTGTGATGTGTCAATGAGGAGTTGAAGGATTTCAGATCACAGATTTAGCTTTCTGGCACAGTCAGTTTTGGAGGTGGCTCAGTTGGTATGGCATTAGCCCACAAACTAAAAGGTTGTTAATTCAATCTCTGAAACTATGAAAGCTCAAAACTGCTGTATCCTTTGGAAAGATATTTCAAACAATTGGATGTCAGCTGTAAGTGCAGTTTGTGTATCAATGGGAAATTAGTATGTGGGGACCCAAAGCATAAAAGGCAATATTTTCAAGTTATGCCAATCTCAAGATGTGATGATAGGCAGTCGTGGAATATCTGTACTTCACTTAAGTACAATTTTAAGTGGATTCTTTTTACTTTTACATTACTACTTTGAACTGGATGGAAAAGTAAAAGTATTTTTTATATAGACAAACTTACAACTAAAAACAGCTAGGAAAATACTATTCAAGATGTAAAAGTTTTTTTGTTTTTTTTCTGGGGACCCATATTTTAAAAGTCACAAACCTTCATGACCCAAGTCCATAGACATTATTTGTAAATCACAAAATAAAGGTGGATTTGACCATTATTGAACATTAATGAGAATATTTTATTCTTGACTGAGTGATTGTGTCTCTCTGAACAATTAGTATTACTCAAGTTTTAAACAATGAAAAACAACACTTGAACCAGCAGTAGAAGGTATCCATAAGTAGCCTATTCAGATATTAAATGTAGCCCTATATATTGCAGACTGACATGTAGATCATGACAAGGCAACCCAAAAAAAATCTCTTGTGACCCACCTGAGGGTCACAACCCAGTCTTTGAGAAACACTGATACAGATTGTAATCTCTGTAATATATTTTTGTGATACTTTTACTTGAGTATTTTTTTGTTCCAGTATCTGTACTTAACAAAACTGAGTAATTCTTCAACAACTAGTGATGGGTCCCCTGGTTCTGCACTGCTGCATCCAATGCTCCTGACAGGTTGCCTCAGTAACACCGAAAGGTGGGTCAAATGCAGAGGACTAGGGATGTAACAATAACAGAAATATTGTGATATCGTACCATCAAAGTTCTCACAATAATATCGTGGGCCATCACAATATATTGAATCCCAAGTCTCTTTGCTTAAATGAAGAGATATGGTGCAGCAACAGTTACAAAAGACAGAGGGAACTACATAGACCATGATCCTTTGCTCTGTTTCAGTGTAGACTACAAGAAGAAATAACAGTTCTAAGCACTTTTAAGTCTTAATTCTTTGGATTAAGTCTTGTCAAGGCATTTTAAGAGGAAAAAGTAGCAGTATTAACAGTTAAAATATCGTATATCGTGAGATGTATACTGTGAAAATATTGTGTAAATATCGTAAGAGATTTGGATATTGTTACATTCCTAATCGAGACTCCCCTTCATATCGTGAGCGTTCCCACGATATCGCAATAAATATCGTACCGTTCTTACCGTGACAATATCGTATTGTGAGACTTGGATATCGTTACACCCCTACAGAGGACACATTTCCCTATACATAGGCCTGTCGCAATAATTACTTGTTCAGTATATGAAAGCTGGAACAATATTTCACAATTTCATTATTTAAGTGTGGAGATTTAAGTGCGGAACAATTTACATACAATACCATCTCCCAGAGAAAGGGCACTCCTGCGCACAAACCTGCTCTGTGCCTGCTACCTCCCTCTTCAGCATTCAACAGCTTATTGCACCAAACTCTGCTAAACGCTGCAGCCTGCCTCCTCTCCGCCTTTCCCCCTGGACCAGAGCCCACGGGCAGACAGGCGCACATTCCCAAGCACGCCAATGTAAACTACTATCACATGCAAAGAAACGAGCTCTCTAACAATGTAAATCAGATGGGAACACGGATAAATGTCACAACATGCCTGCTACAATCACCTCAACCCCAGCACTAGAAATGCTCAAACTCTTCACCTAGAGGGATGGATACAGCAACAGTTGGTAACTCTTCATCAGCGGGGCAGGTAAGGTGAATAGGAAGTACCAGGCTTTCTCGCATGAACGCACCACTTAGCATATTTTTATAGGTGACTTGGAGTGCAGTTATTTTTAAAGTCTTTAAAAACCCGACCAGTGCGTCTGTTGCAAAAATCCAAAATGACAGAACATGCATTATACATGAACGACAATCAGAGGAAGAGGAGAGAGCGTGATAGAGCACAATACGGTGTGCAAAGAGTGCTTTCAGTGCGGCTACACTAGAGTAAGATGAGTTACCTTGGGTGCTACTAGTATGTTGTGTGAGACAGAATACTGAGGCTATTTGTTTGAGAGAAGAGGAAAGAGACGTGGGATAGAAAGAGAGATCTTCAAACCAGGTAAAATAATAAATAAAATAAACATGAACGTGTAACCCACCTCTGTCAGCGGCTAGTTCAAGCGCAGTGAAGACACACACGAGAAATGCAGAGCCAAAAAATCCACAAGACAGGATAAGATGGAGGGATGAGTGAGAGGTCCTTCTGCCCAGCTATATGAACACATAAACAGATGACGATAAGAAATAATAAGTGATACAAGAGTGACAGAAAGTGAGGCAGCGACGAGGGGAAGGGAGTGAGGGCGGATGTATTAAGAGAGTGGGCAGATGCATTAAAGGGAAACACGGCCCCTCCCGTCCCCCCCCACCATGCCCGGCTACACGCACAGATCCAAGTGCACTGTCAGCATTTGACAAAGAGTGTATTCAGTGAATCAGCTGGTGAGGAGAGCGAGTAAGAAGAATGGGGCAGCAGTGACAGTGTAATAACTGTACGGCCGTAATGAGCAATACTGGGCGGGTTTAGAGCTGCAGGTCATTATTACAGTGCAGTTTTTAGAATGTATATTTCAACACCCTCTCAGAGTGGTAATATCGGGATGAACAGATTTAAAATGGATGATTCAATTTGGAAACAAGCTAGGATTTGATCATGTACAAATCAAACAACATAAAGGACCATAAACTATCATACACTCAAACTTTAAACTTGCAGCAGCACTTTTCAGCATGCGAGCTACTTACAAAATGACCAAGTCAAAATGATCTACCTAATACAAAGCCAAGCAAACTGCACTGAAACACTCTGTGCCCCTTTTTTGGACTCTCAGCCACAGTTTGAGAACCCCTTCTTTAAGAGAACGATCTCTAGCACTTTACACAAAACTGCGAAAAAAGTGAAGGAAGTAGGTAAGATTTTTAAACCTGCTTTTTAAAGTTCTAAACTGGAGTTGCATTCGTTTCTGGTTTTGCAGTGATATTTACCAGCCTCTGCACATTTACCAAACCAAACGCACATCGTGACAAACACAGATGCATTTGTGCACTTTTGTTAGGCAAAGTTCAGCCAAATGTGGCAGTAGGTCTGTTCTGTAGATCTGCTCTCTGCTGTAGACCTGCTTTGTGCCAACACTGTAACACAAATTTAGACTCGTTTTTGCTTCACGTTTCGTCTTGCTCTTTTAATCAGCGCGCACTGTGGAAGGGGCTTGTGTTCGCTGTACGCAGGAAGGAGCGAGAGCGTGAAAAGGCAAGGGGCGGCGTGCTGACGTGAGGCAGATGGACAGGTAGGATGTTTAGGAAGTTTAACCTGCCCTGTGATGCACGCTGGTACACGAGGGCACACGCTGTTGCAGACAAGCCATGCATAGGGAGCGTGTGTATTTGTGACGTGCCGTAGAGTCTCTGCGGGTTTCAAATGAGCGCACAGGCTGCACTGAGACGCCCCACACGCTCCTGCACCCCGCTACAAGTTTATTGGCAACAGCAGCGGCCGTAATGAAATATGATCGCACTTGTTGAGTGTCAGACCTTGAGTGAGAGACAAGACCGAGTCCAAACGCGATCGAGTCCGAGACGAGTACTAAGACACGGCGATCTACCCACACGACCTTGGCGATCGACTGGTAGATCGGGATTGACGTAGTTCGCACCCCTGATTTAGACCCATGGGGAAATTTACTTGGGCATATGCTCAAATAAAACAAAAACAAAGCTAAAAAAAGCATTTTATGCTTAATTGAAGTTATGTCTTTAATGGTGTATCTTGCAATAGACTACTTGGTTTAGACCTGTGCTTTTTTTTTTTTTGCAATTTTCCAATGAGGGTTTAGTTATTTTGGGGGTCCTGAAAAGTTTGAGAATCCCTGGTTTAGATGATGATCTCCCAGTGACTAGTGGATAATATGCTGAGATTGCAACGACCAAAAAGGGGTGTTAGCACTCCCAAATAGTTCTCTGCTGACTGTTGGGAGTGCTGCATTAGACTGCATATTATGTTTAGATTCTATCTTACGCAGCTATAAAGTCACAAGTCTGAGTATGAGCTAAACTGAACATGTACCCAAACATGAAAACTCCGGCTTTATTAGGGATAGAAGGGCTTAAATTCATGACATCCACTGATCCAGTTCTCAACATGCCAGTGGGTTAGTAAATAAATCTATGATGTGACAAGTTATCTGCCAGAAATGTGTTCAAGCTTCACTGAGCCCTGTCCCATGATCACAGGTATGCTTTGAAAAGACTGTATAATCCTATATCTACCATAGCACAAACACCTCCACTGACAGAGAGGAGGGGGCAAATAAGAGGATTATTTCCCCGTGCTGATCAATAATGTGGTACATACACATTACTGCAGACATTACTGTACACAGGACCGATCCTTACCGTCAGGAAGCTCATAAACAAATTGCCTTGTACATGTCTTCAAAGTACTGCACATCCCAGTTCCCATGTGAGTTACATATGTGTACATGCCATACAAGCAAAGTAGCATCAGGCATAAGGGAAATTCTATATGCCCCTTTATATTATGTTTTAGCAATAGGCCAATAACAACATGATATAGCAATTATTCCTCTTTGACTATGTATAGACAAAAAAGAATATATGATAATAAAAATTTGATTGGTTCACTTGAAACAGGTTTAAACTGGCCTTTAAATTTGGTAACAAACACAATATAGTTTAAGGTTAAAACTGATGTGAAACTCAACAACTCAAAGCTAAGTGCTAAGAAGTGCCAAGTGAATGGGGAAATTAAATTAGAGTTAGTTATAGATAGCTGTCTCCAATAATCTTCATAATCATAACATATGGTATAATAATGAATGAAATCTTACTACAATGTTGAGTGATTTATGTTGCTCCACCACAGCCGAAAACCATTTTAACACTATTTGAGTTGCATTTGAGTAAACTTGCTTCACCTTTTCTTTTTGTGGGAGTGTTTGTGAGCCCAAAGGAACAGGCCTGCTCCACTGTTGCGGACCACTGTGCCTGGCCTTTCTCTTTGAGCTAGAGCCCAGTCGAAGCATATCCATCTCCTCTGCCAGACTCTGTCCCAGCAGCAGCACAGTAACAGCAAGCAGATCGGAATGTGTACCAGGCAGACTGCAAATGGAAGGCCAAGGACAGACTGCTGTGCACTGGGGTTCATAAAGTGCTTATCTCAAACTCTATTGTGTTGCTTGAATAGATGAACCAAAGATAAGTCAAAGAAACGATCAGAGAACCCAAAGACATATGACATGATTATTGGCAGCGAAAATATTGTTAAAAGGTGCACTGTTTAACTTTTTTGGTGAAGGGTCCGCCACCTGTAAGTCGCACAGAGATGTTATTGCTTTACCCAGAATGTTCAACAGTATGGCAATAAAGTCAACTATCTTGCATATATTTAATTATCAATGTTTTTATTGATCAGAAACTCCTTGAAAAGCATGCATTTGTACTAAGTGGGCTTGCCTCTCCACAGATCTGATCTCTAACTTGGCCTGGTGGTGTGCTCGTCTTTATGGAAATTGATAAGTTTAATGCCATAGTGTGGAAAATGGCTATGAAGACAAGCAGGAGGCGAACCTTCCACTAGAAAAGCTGCACAGTGCACCTTTAACTTTAGTAACTCTAAGTCTATATCTCACCAACAAGAAAACTGCTATATCCATATTTAATCAGATAAAAACGTTTAAACTCTGTCAAGGAAGGTAACTCTAAATTGCAGAAAACTTTTAATACAATGTGAAAAGGGCTGGGGAAAAAGCAACAAGTTTCCACAAATGGGTCAATAGCAAATTTTGATTTCAATCTAATTTCCTTCCTAAAAAAATGTAAATGTCTTTCAATACTGATTTCATGAACTCGATAGACATTAAAGGTGCACTACGTAACTTTCTGATTGGGGGTCCACCACCTGCTTGTTTCTATATGTCATTGCTCTGCCTAGAATATTCCACAGTATGACATGAAACAGCTCTCCTTACATTTATTCAATTACAGGTAGTTTTACAGCTTAAAAACGCCTAGAAAAACAGACTGTGAGTGGGGTCGCCTCTCCAGAGATCTGACCTATAATTTGATCTGGTTTGGTCTTCATGAAGATAGAAAGGTTTAATACCATGCTGTGAAACATTCCAGATAAAGCAATAGCATCTCCATGGAGAAAAGCATTTGACTGACCCTCCAGCAGAAAAGTTATACAATGCACCAAAGTCATTCTTCCTCCAGAGTCTGAACTTTGCCCAAAACCACATGGGTTTACTGACAGAAGATTGGCTGTAGACTTCTTGATTAAAAAGGCCCAAGTCTATCACTGACAAACTGAATCTTGATCTTCATTAAAATTCTATTAATTGCCCAACCGTAAAGAAGTATCCAAAAATAATCACAAAAACATAGAATCAGAATTTTCCTGCTGGTGCTCTCTTGCTTTGTCAAGTGATGCAAATGAGTTTAATTTGAAAGCTTTCAAGTAACAGGCTGATTATCTCACGTCTCTCTCGAGTCAAACTGGTTATTTGCACATTTTTAAACAGTGCACACATTAACTTCTAATTGGGAAGTTGCTGTGATATAATTAGCATTCATAAACAGTACAAGACTGCCAAGTACGAAAACAAGGTTGTAAATGCTATGGTTCTCATGGTGACTGCTGCTCCAGCCATTGCAGTACAGTTCTTTGGCTGTAATAACTTAGAGGCAGTTTAGATCAATCCACAGAAGACATATTATGCTTTTGTCTGCTATAGATTAATAATTGATGACATCCGTATTACTTTCAAAAAATATTTGTGACATTTTAAATGATATTGATCTAAAACAACTTAATAAAGTAAACAAGGCCACTGCCATGCCATGCTGACAGTCCCAACTATGGATAACTACATTTTATGGGAGAGAAGTAAGTACAGGGCAGGGGGCATATGTCCTTTAAGTTCATCTAACCCTTTTTATGATTATGATTAAATCCTGAGCAAGTTCAAGTTCAGTCCTGGTTAGGGGTGTGCAAAAATATTGAAATATCGATATATCGTATTATTTAATGTGGTGATACAGTATCGATATCATAGGCTGCTGTATCAATATATTTATAAGTATATATCAGTATTTTTTTTGGTATATTTTATTAAAATATTTTGTTACAGCGCTACAGTTTTGTTGCTTGTTTAGTGGAAGGAAACACATTTGACATTTTCACTGTTTTAAGG